CGAAGCTTTTGCCCGCTTAGCGGCTTAGCCTCACCCAATGTGCGAACTGCAAATTTAGGCCCGAGGAGCATAGGTTTCAGCCGCGCTCGGAGCTGGCCCAAAGTCACTGTTCCAGCCAGCCAGCGGAAGGGGAGATGTCTGACCCAGCGACTTGGATTATCTTGAGCTGTCTTGGGCTGTTTCCATGGTTGTCCACAGATTAGTGGCCATCATGGTCATGCAGAAGTTCCGTAAAAGTATCGTAAAAGTCACAAGTGGCTCCCCCAAGCCATGCGGGCGGCGTCAGGAACTAATTCGGCATCAGGGGGAGACTTCCAGGACAGGATACACATACAGGTCATATGTATGCATGTACATGTGTAGATATGTGTGCTTATGTACATACCGGGTGCCGGGGGAAGCGGGGTTGAATCGACATGAAACCGAAGCCGAATTAGCGAAGCCGCATTGCCGTAGGTGACGCCGCGTGGCGGGGTAACGCCGAATTGTCCCCTGACGCTGAGTTATGGTGTGAAGCCGAATTACCCCGCAACGCCCAATTGCAACGCCGAATGGCGGTAACTGTGAGGCGCAATAACGCCGAGTTGTGAAGCCGAATTCCCCCCTGACGCCGAGTTGTGAAGCCGAGTTACCCCCTGACACCGAACTGCCGAATTACCCCCTGACGCCGAATTGTGAATCCGAATTGCCCTGACGCCGGATTCTGAAGCCGAAAAATTGGGCAGGCTTGGCATGGAATGGTCGAGACCGGCTGTTCGCTGCAGGTGCGACAAATGGGGTTTCAGGGCTTGGGGAAGACTTTCGCATTATCCCCGGGTAGCGTTAGCTGCGGGGGTTTGTTAGGATTGCACGCGTCCCCCCCTCTTACAGACCCCTCACTGCTCCCTTGCGTGCCCCTGCGTGCCCCGCTCAGTGCTGCGGACCGCCTGTGTTATATGGCTAGCACCCCGGCAGGGGCGGCGTCAGGGCCGCGGGCGGCAGGGGCCGCCGCGCCAGGACCCAAGCTCTTTGGGTCGAACCCCTGCAAGTAACCCCTAATCCCATGTTTATATATATATATATATGTCTTATGTATTTGGATCCGGTTTTTGGGTTGGGGTTTGCTGCGTGTCGCATAGGCCAGCTGCAACATGATCACGGTCGCATGTTGTGCCAAAATGCAGAGCAGGGTCAGCAGGTGGAGCAGGTGTTACTATAGACTTTGCTCGCTAGATACTAGCCGCCAGATGTCAGCTAATGGTCAACAACCTGTAAACTCCAAACCCTCAAATGAAAGATAATGGAAGTCCTTGTGATTATATATGGATGGCATGTTGGATCTCCCTGAGTGAATGGTATGTGGCTCTGTTGAAATGTTGGTACTGTGTGTGTCCATTTGGGGATACTAGCAATAACAACCCCTACTTCATGTAGACATGATGATCTGCTACACAGGTCCTATCAGTGAAAGCTGTGCATAGTGGTGCCCAAAAGCATAGTATCTGGGATGTTTTGGGCTGGACAGCAGCAGCGCAGAATGGGGGGTTTGGGTTGCTGGGCCTAGGCCGCTGCGGAAAATAGGGGGTCTGAGATGGGGGTTAGACTTGGGTAGTTTTTTTTGGCTGGTGTGAGGATGTAGGGGTCCGTTCTGGAGCGGGGTCAGGGTTTGCATCCCCGCTTCAGAACTCCGCCCCCTCCCCTCTCCCCGAGAGCTTCAGTTCCTCTCAAGAAAGGGCAGAGGAAGAAAAACAAAACCACGCAGCGGAAGGCAGCAGCAAGATCAAACATCAAGAGTCAGCCAAGCAAGCTCCCCCAATGACAGGCTTTGCAGAAAGCAGACAAGAACGCCGATGCCAAAGCAAAGTGTGCCACAAAGTGCATGGTCCAGGATTTCAGTGCCAAATGCAAAGGCGCGGCAGAAGGGCAAAGGTCGAGCCCCGCCAAAATCCGCTCGGTCAGTGGCCCGGCACCGAAGATAGCTATGCCAAGTAAGCAAGATTCGACTGGACAGACCCGCCGAATCTTCCGCCAGACCCAAAGAAGGCGAAGAAGTCGCAGGCTTCGCGCTGACGACATCACACGACATCAGCTTTGTTTCCGATTGCAAACAGGTTTACGCAAGCCATCCGTGCCAGGATGGCCGAATCCAGCATCGTGATTTCAATTTCGGCTTTGTTGCAACCTCCTTACATGACCCATGCAAAACCCATATCTAGCCTTGGACCCTGAACACACAGCTTTTCGGGATACGCCCAGGGGTCCATCCGACCCCTTGACCTAGGGCAACTGCCGCCCCCCTCGCTGCTTTCCCCTGCGCACGGCCAGGAGCCGAGCAGTTTTGTCCGGGTTTGCTGCATTGTTTCAAAGTGCACGTTCAAAACGTTTGTGAACCCTGCAAACCTCCCAGGTCACATCGGACCGTCTCCGCAGGCAGACGAGCCCACTTTCAGAGTTTAGGATTTAGGGGCTTGAGGGTTTAGGGATGTTTAGGGTTTAGGGCTACATGGGTAGTTCTCAGTTTCAATTGCAATTGTCGGAGGTTGCGCCATCGTCTGTTGATCCCCTAACTATAGGGTTGATATAAGGTTTCTGCCGGGTTTTCCAGGGTTTTAATAGTGTTTCAGAGGACCTTGTTTAGGAATCAGCTTCGATGCTTAATTTGGCACCAACCGCGGTAAAGAAACCCTAGCTAAACCCCAAATAAGCCCTAAATAAATCCTGTAAAACCTTTTCTGAAGGAGGTGGAAGGGGTCGCGACACCGGTGGTGTACCTTAGGCCTTCATGTCGGAAGTGCCTTGGCCCCAAACTCCCTAAGGGCTAAAACCCTTCCGCGGCCCTGGCCCAATTGTTTGGGGTTTAGGGTTTAGGGCTTGGCATGTTGGAGTGTTTGAGCCTTTTGTCTGCAACGAGGAGTCATAAGTGACAGAAACAGGGATCCCTGATTTTCTTGAGGTTGATGGCAGCCCAGGTTTAGGGTTAATGGTTACCGACTGTAGCTAGACGGGGCACTGATCAAGCCTAACCCTACTCCCTAAAGGCTTCTGAATTTCGCCAAACCCAAAGCCCTAAGCCCGAGCCCAGGCACAGGTGTGCAAACGAGCTGGAGATACGGCATACTCCTGGGCAGAAGGGAACGTTGAGGGCCACCTCCTGCAACCTGCTCCAGAAAGCTTCAGCGAGGCCGGATTGACTTGGTTGTCGTCCATGGTTTTAGCATTGAAGCGGCAGGGAACTACACGACATTTTCAAGAGCTGAGGTTGAGGCAGGGCCGAAGACACGAGGCATCGATTTTGTTGGGTGAAGGGCCGTGTCTGCAAGGAGATTCCGACTCCCGGTACTGGTGCACGTGCTCCTTTCGTCAAGGACGTTTGCGACGAAAGTGGTAGCGAGAGAGCTCCATGCCCAGCAGAAGAAGAAGAAGCAGAAGAAGAAGAAATGGATAAGAAGGGCCTCTTTCGTGCCCCCCCCCCCCTCCCCCTAGAAAGAAACAGAGTTGGAGGGAGGGAGACTTCGCTTGCTTTTCGCGGTTGGAATGCCGGGTGTGTGTTTCAGTTCTCACACTCCTGTTCCCGCCAGATCTCGGTTTCGTTGCAGCGCCCTTCTGCGTCAGGCAAACTATGTTCCGAGCTCTGGCCCGCGTGGGCATCCCCAGCTACATCCCGCGACCTATTCCCCCCCCAAGTCTAAGACGCCGCGCAATGCCGAGTTCTACATCTCCAGTTCATCCGAACAAACTCAAGACTCGAAGTTCTAACTCCTCTACAGTAACTTCGTGGCAGAGGATTCCCCCTCACTCAGGGGCCTGCTGCGGCACGAGCAACTCCGGGCTTCTTACTTGGAGCTCCTGATCAGTCTTTAGAGGTTTGTTGGCTTCTTCCAGAGGGGTCAAGCGTGTGGAGAGAGAGAGAGAGAGAGAGAGAGAGAGAGAGAGAGAGAGAGAGAGAGAGAGAGAGAGAGAGAGAGAGAGAGAGAGAGAGAGAGAGAGAGAGAGATAGAGAGAGATAGAGAGAGATAGAGAGAGATAGAGAGAGATAGAGAGAGATAGAGAGAGATAGAGAGAGATAGAGAGAGATAGAGAGAGAAGAGAGAGAGAGAGAGAGAGAGAGAGAGAGAGAGAGAGAGAGAGAGAGAGAGAGAGAGAGAAGAGCGAGAGAGAGAGAGAGAGGAGATGAGAGAGAGAGAGAGAGAGAGAGAGAGAGAGAAGAGAGGGAGAGGGAGAGAGAGAGAGAGAGAGAGAGAGAGAGAGAGAGAGGGGGGGGGGCCCTGGTCGCAGAAAGAGGGTGCAAGAGCAGAGGCTATAATTAAATGGAGGACGAAGCCACAAGATGCCACAAGTGTTCTCAAGAGAGCTGCCGCAAGTCAAACTGCTTGGGAGGAGGAAGCCATGCCAGCTGAGCTCCGACCTCAGGCCGGTGGGTACGCTCCCGCACTTAGGAGCGCATCACCAGCCTTCAGAACATCAGAAATATATGTAAATATGTATACATGTATATATGTATATATGTATGTATGTATATATGTATAATTATATGTATATATGTATATATGATATATGTATATATGTATATATGTATATATGTATATATGTATATATGTATATATGTATATATGTATATATGTATATATGTCCTGACATGTTTGATCATGGAAGCGTGGTCGCAGCTTGTGGGCTCGTATGGACAGGACCGTTGTGACTGCAGGGGCCACAGGGTCTTTGAGTAGCCTCTTGCTTAACGCTCTTGCTCAGAGCATTCAAGCCCCGCCCAATTTCGATCCGTGCCCAGTGTGCCTCGATTTCGACGTGGATCTCCATCCTCGATCTTTGGCGCTGGGCGTGCTAATAGGCATCTTCTTGGGCCCTCTGATCGACTTGGTCTACGGGCTACGGATCCTGTGGCGGCGCTCCTGCCAGCGCTGGCTGGCTGGGCTAGGCAAGACCTCCTTGGCGCTCTACCGCGTGCATGAGTGAGATCGCCTACTTGATGCTGCTGGGCTGGGTTGGCCCAGTCAGGTGGAGGCATGAGCAGTGACAGTGAAGACGAGGAGGCTGCTAGAGACGTCCGGGGCAACCTCCTGTTCAGCGGAAACCGGGCGCGACTAGAGTACAAGCTGGGGTCCATCTCTTGTTCCGAAACAGGAGAAACTTCAGCCATTATCGGCATTGCGGAGCTTGGGGGAAGGCTGATTGTGGGAGTTCCTTGGGCGGCCTGGCATAAGAAAGTTGCAAAGCGCAAGCTCGAGAAAGGTGCCCTGGGCAAAGCCATCCTAGTCGACGTGGTTGGGGCCTATCCTGCTGATCTTGGTGAGCCCGCAGAAGAGCTGGTTGTTCGGCTATGGGTAGGAGTTCTTGCCATGCAGGCGGAGGCGAGCGTGAGCTACCAGCAGGGTGTGGAGCACACCTACAGCTTCGGGGCAGATGCCCTGCCGTACGGGGAGGCTCTTGTGAAGGTCGCCGACGAGCACTTCGCCTTCACCACGGCAGAGTCTGGTGGAGGGGGCGAGGGCATGTTCCGTCGTATGTCCCAGGTCGAGGCGGGCCTGGCCGAGATGAAGAACCTCTTGCAGGACCTGGTTGCTCAAAAGTCGAGCGAGGCTTCAAAACCGCCGCTGCTGAAGCCGAGGACCAAAAGCAAAGCTGGAAAGAGCAGGGGAGAAGAGCTTGGTTTGCAAGGACTAGATCCCAGCACAGTTGGCGCTGCCCGTGCGGCTGGCATAAGCGACGAAGCCCTGAAGGAGATGGGGAAGTTGGTCAGGGCCAAGAAGACTCGCGCCACCGAGGCCGCAGTCAGCTTAGTCGACCCGCTCGCCGAGTTGGAGGCCGGCTCGGACGGCGACGACGGTGCTGGGTTGGGCTTGGACGAGTTGGATGGCGTCCTGGATGGAGCGGAGACGGAGGAGCCCAACAGGATGGAGAAGGCCATCTTGCAGCTCACCCGCATCGTGGGCACATTGGTGACAAAGAAGAATCCGGACCTGGACACCGTGCTAGACCATGGCAGCTTGGGCAGCAGTTCAGAGTCTGGAGGTCTGGGCGCAGGAAAGAGAAGTACTGCGGCCCTCCGCTTTCTGAGCCGAGCTCTGGAGGAGCAGCCGAAGGTCATCTACGATGCAGTGGAGGCCCAGCTTCAGAAAGACTTGGGAGGCCTCGCTACTGGAGACTCGATGGTGAAGACGTGGCTATGTTCTCGCTCTCGGATCCAGAACTTTCACACTCAGGTGAGATGGTCGTGGCAAGTCGGGGCCATTTGGCAGGATCTCATCAACGGCGACGCAGACCGCGCGCGCGCGCGGGCGGCGCTCCTCATTGCCGCCTCGGATCAATCCTCCATAGATGGGGGCAGTTGGGTAATGAGCTCCGTGTCATTGTTGGAGGCGATGCCACCTTTCCAGGAATTTGCAAAACATTCCTTGCCAGGGCCTGCGGAAAACCAGACAAGCTCCCTTTACGACCCGCGATGGAGCGAGGTCTTCCTGAGCGCCCTTCGCGAGCGGGACGCTTGCAACGATGCCAGACGGAAACTTGCTCAGTTGGAGAAAGGAGGCCGACCAACGAAGCCAGACGACAAGGACCTGCCCTGGAGACCTCCGAAAGGAGGGAAGGAGGGAAAAGGCGGCAAGGGCGGAAACGCCAATGCCGAAAAGCCCGAAAAGTAAAAAGCAAGCCAAAGGGGGAGGTCTGCGAGAGCCCGTTTGAACCAGACCGTCCTCCTGAACTACTTGGCTCTTCTTCTTTTGACCCTCGTCTTTGCAGCGATCCAGGCTGTCGCGGAGGTGGGCGCGGATCTCCAGGCCGACCTGAAGACGGCGCCAGTCCTCACCGGCATGTGCCTGGAACGTGTGCGAGACCAGTTGACCCGCTGGGTGTCTTTCGTGACTTGGTGGGTAGAGTTTTCCAGTGCCCTACTTCTTTGGGTTGTTTTGCTAAAAGTTTCCTGCGTAAAGCCCAGTCCGGCATTGCAGCCGGCAAAACCCCGGGGTCGCATCCAGCAACGTGGCCGATGCCCCTGCCTTTTCCAGAAGTTCTTCGAGGCAATCCTTGGACGATTGCTCCAGCAGAACTTAAGCAGCTGATCGTAAATGTGCAAGTCATCCTGCTGAACTACCTAGACCTGGGTCGTCCCCGCGTAGCCCCCGCGTCGTGTCTTGGTCCTAGGCCTTTGAGCGCAGCTCAGTCCGAGATTGTGGCCCGACTGGAATCCTTCCTAGATGCTTGGTTCACGCTCGGCACGCTGGGGCCAGAAGACATGGGGCGAACAGCAGGAAAGATCGAGGACCTTGAAGCCGTCCTCAGCAAGCTTGCGACTTTGGTTGACGGCGCAAGCCCTGACTGCGCCAAGACCGGGACCCTTGGGCATCTGAAAGGAGCAAAAGTGTCGAGCTTCAAGCCGGTGGAAGCAGGGAGGTTGAAGTTCCGAGGCCTCCCAAACTTTGACCCCAGGCCATATCTCGACCCATTGTCCCTCTACATCTATGAGCATCCTATGGCATCTTCCATGGACCCAGGGGAGTTTGAAGGAGTTGTCCCGAAAGTTCGAGTACATTGCAGCAGGACCGAGAAGATTAAGCTGTTCGACCTCTTGGACCAGAGCAAGCGGATCAGGCTGTTTGAGCCAAGCCAAGTGCGCGAAGGGTTTGGTTCTGGAGTTTTCGCCGTGCTGAAGTCCTTGGAGTTGGATAGACTCATTTTGGACTCACGTCCTCACAATGTACTAGAGACGACACCGAACAGGTACATCTACACCTTGGGTTCTAGCGAAGTACTTGCGCAACTCCACCTGAGTGAGGGCGAAAACTTGTATCTGTCATCAAATGACATACGCGATTTTTACCACTTGTTCAAGGTCAGCCAGGAGAGGGCTCGACGCAACATTCTTGTTGGCACAGTGGCCCCGAGCGAGGTGTCACATTTGTCGTGTTTCGAGAACCATCTCTTCCGGCACCCCAGACTCTGCGTCGGCCTTGCCTGTCTTGCTATGGGAGACACGCAAGCCGTGGAACTGGCGCAGACCTGCCACTTAGGTCTGTGTCTCCAAAACTCGATCATCTCGGCCGAGACCCTGCTGGCAATGAGTTTGCCGCCTCCTAGGAGCAAAGTGGGATGCGGACTTGTGATTGACGATTTCGTTTCTTATGCAATTGAGAGTAGATGTCCGAAAGAAGTGTTGGCATCACCTACCAGGGCAGCGGTGTTGGCCGATGAAGCTCATGCTGCCTACACACGTGTCCAGCTCATTCCCCATGAAGACAAAGCTGTGAGAGATTCTCTGAGGTGCGAGATGTGGGGTGTTCTCATCGAGGGCGACGTGGGCTTTGTCAGAGGCTCACTTAGACGCGCTGCTCCTCTGTGCACCATCATTCTCACCATCTTAAAAATCGGTGCCGCTACGACAGGTCTTCTGGAAATCGTGGCTGGAGGCCTTATCGCTCTTTTCATATTGAGACGACGCCTTATGTCGCTTTTGCATGAGATCTTCGCTGCTATGCGGGGCCGTGAGCAGGATGAAGCCTTTTGGCTGAGCAATAAGCTAAAGGAGGAACTCACCATGCTGGTCGGTCTTGTGCCCACTGCAGTGGTTGAGCTCAGGACGGCGTATTCCGAAAAGGCGTACATGGTTGATGCTTCGAATTGGGGTGAGGCTGTGACATCGTGCCAGATTGGGTGCTTGTTTTCCAAAGAACTTTGCAGGCATTCGCTCCGGAAAGGAATCTGGACGCATCTTCTCAGCCCAGCTCGCGCTCGTGAACGTGGGCACGGGACTTTAGACCCTGCTTTTGAAGTGCCTGGAGGTGAGGCGGACTGCTTCAGAGCTCATCCAATTTGGACCACTCTAGCCAAGGCTGGGCGCTTCAAACTAGAGTACTCCAAGGCTGCCCGTTCCCGGCGCCACATCAACATCGGAGAGCTCCGCTCATACTTAAAGGCTGAACGGCTCGCTAAAGTACCTGGTAAAGCGACAAGAGCATGTGTGGGAGGCGACTCCCAAGTCACCTTGGGGGCAGTCCTCAAGGGCAGGTCAGCCAGTGCTGCCCTCAACCAAGAGATGCAGAAGTCGCTACCGCACGTTATAGGCTCAGGGCTCTATTCTTTCAGCATGTACTGCCCGACATCCATCAATCCTGCTGACGGGCCAACGCGAGGTCGTGATGTTCCTTCTCCACTTGAAGAACTTCCGGACTGGTGGGAGTCGGCGTTGACTGGGAAATTCGAGGGCATGGACGCTTGGTTGAAAGGCCTTGGGTGTGACCCCTTCACACTTTCTGGCTTGCCCCCGCTTGAAAAACTTGTCCAAGGCTGCTGAACGTGAAGTCCAAATGCAACTCGGAAAGAAGTACCTGACGAAGCTCAAACAGATCAGGACTGGCAGGCAAGAGTGCCAGGCGCCGGAACTAGAGCCACCGTCTCAAAACACGGATTTCATGTGCAAGTTGCTGAATGCTAAAGGGCAGCTTGTGCTACCTGCCGGTCGCGTAAAGGGAGATTGCGTCGGACGGCCAGGATACTTAGATCTGTTCTCAGGCACCGGTGGAGTCGCTCGAGAACTGGCCAGACTCTCTGGCCGGTGGGTTTTGAGCTACGAGATCAAGAATGGCTTAGACCAGGACCTGCTAGATAAACTTGTGCAAAAGGAAATCTTTGGCCTTTTGGATGCAGGAGCCTTCGTTGGGATTGGGGCAGCGCCTTCTTGCGCTTCTATGTCCCGGGCTGTCGCTCCTGCTGTCAGGACTCATGCGTTCCCGGAAGGTCTCCCTCACTTAACCCCGGCCCAAGACAAGAAGGTTAAGGAGGGAAACGAGTTCGCAAGGTTCGTGGGCAAGTTGGGGATTCATGCTCAGCGTCTAGCAATTCCCTTCTGGATTGAAAATCCGAGCTGCTCCTTCCTGTGGATGCAACCAGAGATGATCACTGTGCAGGGCTTGCCGTTTGTGGGCTTTTGGGTTTTTGATTGTTGTGTCTACGGCACAGCTTGGCGCAAACGTACGCGGGTCCTTACCAACACTGGGCTAGCCTGCCAGAAGACATTTTGTCGCGGCTGCAAAAGACACCAGGTGCTCAGAGGACGCTCCAAATACCAGAGATGCAGTTGGACTAAAGTTGCTGAGCCTTACCCAAAAGCCTTAAGTCTGGTGATTGCCATGGCGTTGACTGGGGCAGCGGGAGACAGGAAGGAGTTTAAAAACTTAGACGCTGCGTCCTGCGCTCGAGCGCTTCAGAAGGATGCCAAGGCGCCTCACTGCTGCTGAACGCGCTTCTCAGAGGAGCGGCATCTCCTTGGCAGGCGTGCCACTGGTAGGTGCCAAGACTGAGAAGCTGGAGAAAAGATTGTGGGAAGGTTTTCTCGAGTGGATCGCCGAGGACTGTAAGCCAGATATGGTCAAGTTGCTCACCTCCTCCGCTTCTACAACCTCCACGTTGCTCCAATTGTACGGTGAGTACCTTTTCGAGGTCGGTGCGCCGCTCAGCTCCTTTAGACACTTAGTCACTTTTGCTCAAAGGCTGTATCCCGATTTCAAACTGCACTCCAAGCCCTGTTGGGATCACGTAACAAAATGGGAGATAGTGGAACCTTTGGTGCACAGAGTTCCTCTACCTGAGCGGCTCTGTGAAGCTATGGCTGCAGTGGCGTTTGCGTGGAAGTGGCCTCGTTTTGGGCTTGTCCTCCTCATCGCGTTTTATGGGATCCTTCGAATAGGCGAAGTTGTCTCTGCTTTCCGAAGTTCTTTGGTGCTTCCTTCAGATCTTTTGTCAGACAAGCTGGATAAGTTGTTTCTGCGTATTCTTCAACCAAAAACTGCGCGAAGAGGAGGAGGCAGACAGCAACACGTGACCATTGTTCATGGACCATTGGTTCGAGCATGTGAAGCAATTTTCAAAGGTGCAAAAAGTTCAGAGCCCTTGTTTCCTTTGTCAGCCCAGACATTCAGAAGACGGTGGGACCAGGTCCTGGAAGCACTACACGTTCCTCGTTCAGCTGCTTTGACTCCAGCTAGTGTTCGAGAAGGCGGGGCCGTGGCTTCGTATCAATCTGGCACTCCAGTTCATAACTTGGTCTGGCAAATGCGTGTCAAGCACGTTCACACGTTACAACATTACCTCCAAGAAATGGCAGCTGAGAACGTTCTTGGGCATCTTCCTTCTGATTCGAAATCAGCTGTTCGGTCGGCCTCTTCTTGCCTGACCTTGTTTCTCGACTCTTTGTAATTCACTGCCGAGGTCCTGTCCATGGCCATGGGCGCATGCTAGCACGCTGGCAGGCACCTTCTCTTACCTCGAAGCGGCCTGCTGAGAAGTGGTGGAGGCAGTCTCCGACTACGCGGTCCTGGAGTTTGCGGCTTCCGACGTGCTCTTCGGTTACCCGTTTTTCTGCTTCGTCGGCTACACGAATCCGCTTTTCGCCTCCGAGACCTTCGAGCTTCCCAGTGCCGCAGCCGAATACCGGCCGTGCAAAACTTTTCAGTGGGCACCGCTTGCGCAGTGAAAAGTGGGACAGCGATCAATTGCTGAAGTGAGCCAACATGTCCTGACATGTTTGATCATGGAAGCGTGGTCGCAGCTTGTGGGCCCACCCGCCCGCCCTTGCTGCTGTCCTGCTTGCGGTGCTGGGGGAGGCAGTCTCCGACTACGCGGTCCTGGAGTTTGCGGCTTCCGACGTGCTCTTCGGTTACCCGTTTTTCTGCTTCGTCGGCTACACGAATCCGCTTTTCGCCTCCGAGACCTTCGAGCTTCCCAGTGCCGCAGCCGAATACCGGCCGTGCAAAACTTTTCAGTGGGCACCGCTTGCGCAGTGAAAAGTGGGACAGCGATCAATTGCTGAAGTGAGCCAACATGTATATATGTATATATGTATATATGTATATATGTATATATGTATATTGTGAAGTCGACCAGTCACTGGTCTTGCACAAGCAATGCAAACGCAGGCTGGCCACGCTGTTTTACGACTTCGCGGGATCACCAGCTCTGAGGTGCCCTACGGCCGAGCGTCCGGTCGGACCGCTCTGCAACCTAAAAGCTACAGAACGAAACTACCGAGCACAACGGCTACAAGACTATCTCGTACTTGAGCCAAAATTGGCAAATTCCAAAACTGAAACGTGCAAGTGAAATGCCGCAGACTACACTGGCACAGAGCACAGCATGCTAACGTGCATTGACCTGCTCACATTCGCCCCTCATCGAGGCTCCCAGCCACTTCTCAAGCCGAGAAGTGAGTGCAAGCTGCACTACATCAATGCGAAGGGGGAAGTGCGTGCGTGTCGCGTGCGACTCTGGCGGAGCCCGCGCATCATGAGCAAAGGTATGCGGCTTGGGCGGCAGCCCGCACTACCAGAACGGACGCACGACGACACTACAACCAGACACGCCCCCCTAAGCCAACCCTTCGGCGGTCCTCACCCTTTTGCTGGTGGGCGAGGCTCAAATCCACGAGCAGGTTTCTACTGTGCCAGTGCAAAACGCCATGGTGCACTGTACAACTACAGAAAACTACAGAGCTACGGCTACGGCTACCTCCCTATCCTGCACTACCCTAAGACTACCTGACTCAGGAGGTGCCGCGTACGGGCTCGTGCCGCAGGCAACGCTGCTCACGCGCGCTTCGGCGAGCGCGTTGCCGCGACCAGGACACGGTCCGCGAGCTGAATGCAAAAGAGCTCCGTCGGATTCGATGGGCCACAGGCAATGCTGCGCGGCCTAATGTGTGGCGGGGAACGCAAAATGGGCAGGACTCCATCCTGCCGCGGCGCCCGCAGCGTGCCGTGCTGCTACACCTGAATCAGGCGCGGAAAGGATACCACGCTGCGCCGAATGGCCGCAGCCTACTCGATTCCGACTGGAATCTCCTGTGCGGCTGTGACAACGGCGTGGTTGCCGGAGCTGCTTGCGCGCTCGAGCTGTGGGCGCCGGGCGGCCGCCTCGTTGAGATCCAAAGCCCCAGCCGCAACGCGCTGAAACTCCTCAACGAAGGAAACCGTGGCGGGGTGTGCCTTCGCAGTCTCAAGCCTGAGGCCAGTCTCGGAATTGGCCTTGCTGCTTGTGGTGAAATTGAGACTGCCGATCAGCAACACCGCGCCGTCGGGCCGCAGTAGGCACAAGGCCTTTGAATGGTGGAGGCCCTGGATCCCTGATCCTACGGCTCCGCACCCATCCTGAGCGTAGGCGTCGTGGACCGAAGTCCCGCAAGCAACCCGGACCTCTGCGCCGGCTGCAGACAGGCGTTTAAGGACCTGCCATTGCAGCTTCGTCCGCTGACGTTGGGACGCATCGGCGATGACACGAACACCCGCCCCTTTGACCAGCGATGTTTCGATGCCCTCCACGCAAACCGGGCAATGGAAACTATAGGCGGACATAAATGATGTCCTCGCTCGTGCCTGCTGCCAGAAGGGACTGGGCGGCCTTGATATACGGCCCGCCCGTCAGGAAGTCCGCCTCGCAGGAGGGCGGGTTTCTGACCGAGGGGCCTTTGTTACGCCTGCCCTGCAGCGATAGTCTTGGCAGCTGCTCCTCTCTGGGCAGCGTCGGCCTGCGTGGGAACGCTCACGACTGCTGAGGGTGCTGCGGCCTGGACACGACCCGCAAGCCCCTGAAAATAGGAGAGCCAGCGGCTCTTTGCTGCAAGTTGAGAAAAGCAGCTGTCGCTTTCTCCCAATCTGAGCGCCGCCTTACCCTTGGCGATAGCTCCAGCGGTGGAGCCTGCCATCGAGTCCGTGAGACTCGTTCCCGCGCCGCTGCGGGCCGCGTTCGACAGCATGAGGCCCTGGGCCTTGGCGGAATCGACTGCGGCATCGTATATATGTATATATGTATATATGTATATATGTATATATGTATATATGTATATATGTATATATGTATATATGTATATATGTATATATGTATATATGTATATATGTATATCTGTATATCTGTGTATCTGTCTATCTGTCTATCTGTTTATCTGTATATCTGTATATCTGTCTATCTATCTGTTTATCTGTATATATGTATATCTGTATATATGTGTATATGTATATATGTATATATGTATATATGTATATATGCATATATGTATCTATGTATATAGTGGCTATGTCAGAGAGCGAGGGGTCAGGTGTCGTTCAAGTGGTGTGAAGAAGTTTTCACATGCATTGAGTACAACCGATTGCTTGCTGGTTTCCTTTATAAAATTGGGGGAGGGGATGCCTCGCCCACCATGTTCTTCAGTGCATTAGACATTACATTGTTCATTCGTTGCCTCGTCTGTCTGTGTCTGGCGGTCTGGGCTTTGACCCTTAGCTCACTGCCCTGGCTTTCCGTTTGTCAGTTAGTTTGCTTGCTTGCTGGTGCTGGTTGGTTTGTGCTCCTCTCTTCGTTGTTGCGTCCCTAGTTGGTTGGTAGTGATTAGTTCGTCAGGTAGTTGGTGTCAGTTTGTGGACAGTTGCTGTGCTTCATCCCTATGGGGTTTTAGAGTGGAAAATCTTCAGTGTCTTGACAGCCGTGAAGCCTCCGGCAACGTACACAGGCTCCGCAAAGCTGTTGTTCTCGCTTTGCGTAGTACTCTGCGTGAAAGAGATACGAAACCAACAGGCTTCTTGCCCGTCAACACCATCCTCCTCAGCAAAGAGGGTTTTTTGAATTCTCGAATGGCTGGCGGCTACTTGGCATGGATGTGTGATGTCTGAGTTGAGAACTGTGTGAGTTTGGGGCGAGGGGTCTTCTTCTTGGACGTCTGAGGTGATCTGGATGGGGATGAGGACGGTCAGCAGCTTCATGTTCGATGAGGCAGCTGGGGTAAGCGCAGCTCCTCTTCGAAGACTGTTGGCGTTTGTTGAAGCTCTGCGTTCAGCGTTGGGTGGACAAGGTGTGGAACTTTTTGAGGTTTGGGTCATTTAAGCTGTTGCTGCACAGCTTCACAAGTTGGGGCTTGTTTCCTCGTGTCGTTTGAGATTTCGAGCAGCCTGTATGTTTGAACCAGATGTACGTTGAGGTGTTGTTTGTGTGTCGCGTGAAGGCAGAGTGATGTCATGTGTCAGGCTTTGGGAGAGGCGCAGAACGCCGGTATGGCCTCGTTCATCCCTGAGGACTGCAGACCCTACATACCACAAGCTGTAGCAGAATCCCTCTTGGGCGAATTGGATGCGGTTTTTTGAGCTACGGAGGGATTTATGGGATTTTTATGCCAAAAATGTTCAATTTCAGTCAGAATTCTGCTTCCGCAGAGTCCCCTTACAGCCTTCACAGCTTGCGCTCGCTCTTCAAGACTACGTTTGGAGGTACGTGTGTTTTTGGTTATGTATTCGGGCTGTTCTTGCAAAGGTAGAGGAGGTAAAAGTCCGCAAAGAAAGATCTCGCCCAAGCCATTCGAGACCCCCGCTTCTTGCTTCGCATCTGCTGCGGCGTCGGCCCAAGGGTCCAGTCTCGGGTTGTTCAAGATCCGATTATTTGGTGCCGGAATCGCTTCTCATAGGCGTCCGCAGAGCAGGATTATCCAGAGGCTGTTCAAAAACGGGGGGAGGTGCTTCCTTTTCGGCCACTGTTGCGCGGGATCCTGTTAGGAAGGAGTGCTTCAAAGGGGGGACCCGAATTGAAAGCGAACTCTATGCTGCTTCAGACCTCACTGACACGTTTGTCTGCACAATGTCGGCATGCTGTTGTCGAGTGAGTAAGCAGTGTCTGCCCGAATGCTGGTTGGGATTGGTCTCTGCGAGCAATCAGCTCGGAAGCCCGACTTACACAGCCTTGAGCCCTCAGCGCAAAACCCTGAACCCTAAGCTGCAGCAGGCAGATGCGTTTAGGCGCTTCAGGAAGTTCGATGTGTTTCAATGTAGAGCTACTGGCGTTGTTGGTTCAATGTTGAAGTTTCCGATCTCTTCACAACTTCAGCCCTGTACCACCAGGCGTATATTGCAGCAAGTGAACCCTTAACACCAAAGCCCTAAACCCCTGAAACCCCAAACCTCGAACCCAAGCAGGAGCGAGTGGTGCAGCAGCACGTGGAGCAGGGTCCAGATGCCTGAACCTCAGCGAAAAAACCCTAAGCCACAAACCCCAAACCCTATGCAAACCCAAAAAAAAACCCTATACACCCAATAAGTATAAGCCGAAATCACCCTATCAGCCCCCCGCCCCCAAACCCCATAAGTTTCAGACCGTGCAAGCCCTAGCAACTCAGCCCCCAACCCCAGCAGAACTCAAAACGCACGCGCACGCGCGCGTACACATTGACAAACAAAACACCCCCCAAGACTCAAGAACAACAAAAACACGTCAACCTCAGATAACACACCGCAAGCGCGAAAAACACACAATCAGAAATCATGGATAAAAAGCCAAAAAGCACAAAACCAACTACCCTTTAAGATGCTCAATAAGGGGCCCCAAGTTTTTTTTTGTAGGTGTGGCTCGGGCTTCTTTTCTTTAAAAGGTGTGGCTCGGGTCCCTTGGTCCTCTGGTCCTCTGGTCCGTGGTCCAGTGGTCCTCTTGTCCTTTGGTCCTTTAATGTCCTTTGGTCCTCTGGTCCTTTGGTCCTCTAATCCTCTGATCTTCCGCTCCTCTCCTGGTCCTCCAGTCCTCTGGTCCTGGTCCGTGGTCCCATGGTCCCGTGGTCCTGTGGTCCTCTGGCTCTGGTCGCCTTGGTCGTCCTCTCGTCCATTTCTTAAGCCGCGCAAAGCGTTCTTCAAAGAACCAATCCAAGCCGCTTCAAAGCCCCTGTTTTTTAGGCCCGTGCCCGCTTGCGTCAAAGCATATGATTCCAAACCTCACGATGTGAGCATTCTGTTTGCAAATGGTCGCGACCCCCCCGCCTCCC